CCATTTAAATAGTAAAGGTCATTTGGTTAAATATGTAAATGCCATCAACAATATATTCAAGTGATCACAGTTTCAGCTCTGATGCCACTCATGATAAGCAATTATACCAGATTAAGTCTGTAAATTTGCCTTGTGTTAATCCAAAAGAACAGAGAAGAGAAAGAAAAAAATGTTAATAAATGTACAAGATAGAAAGCATTTAAATTACTATGAAATAAATTCTAATTTAGTTACACAACTTTGTGTAATTTTCCTTATCTCCCCTTTTTACTATCTGAACATTTGTTTCCAGCTTACTTCTGATAGTAAGAACTGGGCACCTCTGAATACATTTTCTTCAAGACTGAAATCCAATGCAGTATAAATACTAACTAGGACCATAATTTATGGGGAAATAATTTCTTGTTCCTTCACACACGCTACTGCAACCCCAGCCTCAGAAGTCCCCAGCCCTTCTATCTTTCACCTTTCTGTGCACAACACTATCAAGTGATGCAAACCTTCTCTTTGCTCTACTATAACAGACATGGGGAAAATAAAATGAGCAATCCAGTATGGAACCAAATGTGGTTTTCCATATGTAAACCAAAAGATAATATAGCTGTTGCTTTTCTTCCCTCTGCCCTTCTGCCCTGAAATATGTGGTACTTGATTTCTTTCTGATGTATGCATGCAGAATTCATACACAAACTATGCTTCACAGAGAAAGAAAAGAAATTGTTAAATATCCATGCTGATATAACAGAGTAACGACATATGCTATAGTTTGTGACCATGAAACCTTCAGGGAGAATGCCATTTACCAGACCTTTCTCACAGAGTCCAACTCTCTGTTAGTAATTTTTTGAGAAAACAACTATTGCTGAGAACCTGATAGACCACCAGCCTTTATGGTCTCTCTGCTTATCTGATCCAGTTTCTGTGTTTCCAGTATCTGAGCCAGTGGTGAAAAATGAATTTGCATGTTGTATTTTTTCAGACAATCATGACCAAGGATTTTGAAATGTGTATCCTTAACTCAGTGTAATTTCCTGGTGTATCACCATGAAGCAGTGTGGCAAATGACGTTGAAGATGCTGAAGGTGACCCAGCCGACCAAGGAACTCCCTTGAGGGAACTCCCAGATAATCTGCTGCTACCTTTCAGTAAACAAGCATCCACCCAACAGGCCCAGCTGCCTGACTTTCAAAGTGCAGGACAAACATTATGGTAGTTATGTTGCTCTTGAGAGTTCAGATGGCAAAAGTCTTGATGAAAATACAGTCAGTGTTTGCTGGATTGTCAACAACAAAATATTCTCTTTTAGTATCAGTCATGCAGGAGAAGTGCCTGTGTCCCTGTATCTCTTCATCATCTGTAAATATTCTGAAATTAAAAAAAAAATGCTAGATTTATTTAGATTTTACTCCTAATAAGATATTAGCAATAAAACTTCGTTGTGGGTGTTGTTTTTTTTTCAAGACTGAACTTGTCTCCTTATGAAATAGGAAATCATTAAGTTTCTCAGTGGTCTCATGGTTTGTGATTCCAGTTAATAAAATGTGCTTTTTTTCAGCTTGAATCTTCTTCAGCTAAATAAGTTTTGAATTTTTGAAAAGGTAGAGAATTTTGTATTTTGACTTTCTATTGCAGAACTACTATCATCTTTTTATTGTCAGATCCAGGCTTACATGGCTCATTTCATCTATGCGTAGCAAAATAGGGATCTATAATTCCCATAAAATTTTCTCTAGTTTAGAATCAACACTTTTTTGAAACACTTTGTAAAGACTTGTTTAAAATACGAGGTTTGTTCCTGAAAGCTAACCTTAGCATTACCCTGGGGTTTTATGTCTTTGACTGGGAAATTAGCATTGCAGAGTTCAGAGAGCACACTTCCCTCAAAATTATTTTCTTAAGATGCTGTGATGGCTTCAGAAACTGCTATTCTTGGACCATTTAATTTAAAATTAATCACTTGTGGAGTTTTCAGCAAGCACATTTTACAAAGAACACACTTGAGTAATTTTTGTTTGTATATGAATGTAGACATGTTTTTGCCTCTTTCTTTAAAGAAGTCGAAGTCTCATATTTTTGGACTTGATAAGGTCTTGTGGATTTTATTGCCTTTATCTGGACAGGTACTGGCATTTATAGAATCTCACTGTTAGCTCTGAGTTTATAGAAAAAGCACCCTTTTTTCAAATGTTTTCTGCTTGTGCTAACTTTAATTTATTATTACAAACTATCACTTTAGTTTGTCCAGGTTTTTTTGCTGTAGAAATTTGCATGGCAGTTGAGGGTTCTTCTGGGATTTGAAAATTCAGATGGCAATTTAACTTGAGTCTTCTGCACCTTACAGATCTAATAGCCAGCTTGCCTTTTAGTTGCCTTCTGGAAGCGAGGCAGGGAAACTTGGAGAACTTAGCTTGTGAATCTGCTTTGAAAATATTATTACTGGGGCTTTCTTTTTATACATTACCAGTGACTGGCACATTAAACAGTATGAAAAAAAACTGAGTATGTTTCTAACATGGCAAGCATTTTCTACTTTGGATTGCTGAAGTGTTCCTTTTCAGGAGAGTCTAATACCAAAGTAGTGGCTTCCATGAAATTTAAATCATCTGACTAGCTTGTCTTTTTGATAGATTGCTGGTGATAAGACTGATTCAGATTTGAATGTTAAAGACATTTTATCCTATATGTATTAGTTCTTGTTTACAGATAATGAAATTTGTAATCTTTTTCATTCTAATACTTGGATCATAATTCATGTAGATATGAAGTGTGGTGTATGGAAAACATAACGAATTTGCTGCTCACCAGATTTTCAAAGCTGGGACTCAAAGGAAATACTGTTTTCCTGTAGAACACTCACCTGGTTTGCTGCTTTGTTCTTTATCTGGGATGAGAAATTATAGTAATGGCTTTGCTTTTAGAAACATATTTGCATAAGCAATAAATTATATAAGAAGGCACAGGAATGATTGAATGAAATAATGTTGTTGATTGCACATTAAAAGTACCAGCTGAAAAACACACATCAAGCTATCCAAGATACTACCTTTATTTTATTTTACTTTTTAGAGGTAGAGTTGGTCACAGGATCTTCTAAAGGAACTGATTCTCACTTGTAAAATGACAAATTCCTTGCAACTTTATTTTACTTGAATAGCCTTCACACTAGAAGGAGAGTATTCATGTTAATATTTATTCATCTGGGCTTTTGTCATGCAGCTGAAATCATCAGAGTGTTCGACTGTGATAGCTGGCTTAAACTGCTCTTCAGGCTTTTGGGTACCAGGGGAAAGAG